GCACTTGATATTGAAATGTTGAAATGATCAATTTAGGGGAGCAAGACTCGAAGAAATCATTATCGCTTGTGCTCAGCGAAGATTTGGAAGGTCAACGAACAGCGAATGATGATTCGGAAAGTCCATTAATGAGGAAAAAAGAAACGGGGTGCTTTTTTTTTTAAATGATATTTGTAACATTTCTGAAATTTAAGCGGAATTAAATAAATTGATGTTAACATTAAATGGGTCAATTATTGCAGTGAAAAAGTATTAAGTATAGTAATTTACCCTTCAAATCAGAATTCTTTCGCATTATTAATGCTTTCTATTAATATGTGGTCATAGGTCATTGCAAAAAAATAAAAAAAATTACTTTCGTTTTAGTAGTGGTCGATTAATTAGACGTCAATTATTGTTTCACGTACGACGGGTTACCAGCGATTATGCTTTGTTTTTTGCAGCGATTGGAATTGGTACGCATACCAATTAAATTTTACATATCATTTTTATGATTTGAATTCGTATTTGATTTCAAATTTTTCCAAAAAACTAATTTCAATCAAATTTTAGGTTTAATGATCATCGACAGTGAAATGAGTGCTGCTAAAATTTATCAAAAAGTACATTTCAAAATCCCTTAAATTATTTAATGCAAAAAAAAAAAAATTGTTGGAATTTTTGAAATTTTTATGATAATTTTTTCATTCAAAAATTTGAATTTATTATCGATTCAATCTTACTTTTCAATCTTTACATTTTAAATTTATCATCATTTCAGGGATCATATATGAGTTTAATTTTGAAAATGTTAATATTGTTAAGTACAATTGTTTTAGTGGCACTTGTTATTAAATTTCATGTTCATGAAGTACAGGTAAGTTTTTTTAATTTAATTAAACAAAAAAAAAAAGCTCATTGTGCATTCATTTCGTTGAGTAGCGGAATATTTGAGATTGATGAAATTTAATCTCAGAATGTTATCAATGTATTTAGCTTAATATACTATGATAAAAACGGTTTATTTTGAACTCCTCCTTGACCTATGCTAATTGTAAATGAACTAAAAATATTTATTTGAAACATTTTTATCGTTGATACTCAATTATGATAAGTGTAAACTAAGAGAAATGATTCAAAGAGCATTCTTTGATGTGACATTTGCGCCTCAAAATTTGATTGTATGTTGCAGTTATTTATGAATGCAAATAGTGCCGAAGATTGGCGAATAGCCATTACGTGGCAACGTGGTTTACAAATTATGCTTGAAGTAATGATATGCGCATTTTGTCCACTTCCAATTGATATCAATTTTTACTGGACAGCATCTGATGGAGATAGGGTAAATGTTAATTCCAATTTTTTTTATTATTAGAAATATGATAGTTTAAATAATTTCTGTATTCAATATGACAGCTGCATTTATTTTTTGAAATTAATTATTTTTTAATATCCATTGGAAGTTTGCTCGTGAAATTATTTAAATATCTAATAAGAATGAGAAATTTGCGCATTTTTAATTTCAACATATTTACATAAAAGGGTGAAATTTTCAAATGCTAAATTTTATGAAGCATTAAAACTTTTTGCTTTTAATTAAAGCCTCAAACTATTGAAAGAAAAATGTGTGTACGAAATAAAAAACCGATTCTTTCCTTGCATGTTATAATATTTATTAAAATTAAACGGATAAAATCCGGGTGTTATGTCTTTCTCGATTTCTTGGCTGCTTTTTTTTTTTGATTAAAGTATATTACAGATGAAAACAATAGAATTACCACTTGATGTTTTCTTATCAATTCCAATGTTTTTTCGATTATATTGGTTATGTCGTGTCATGCTATTACATAGCCGGTGAAGATTTTTTTTTTTTTTTAAGAATTAATTGTTGTTTTTCAATTTTTGTCTAACTTTTATTTCAATTTTAAAACGCTAATATTTAAAAATAAAAGTTTAAATTATTAGTGCATATAGATTAAAATTTAAATATAGGAATTATCAATAATTCATTGATTAAAGTTGATTCAGATTATTCACCGATGCATCCTCAAGGAGTATTGCTGGTCTCAATAGAGTTAATTTTAATGCGCGGTTTATTTTGAAGACTTTAATGACATTATGTCCTGGTATACATATATTCATTTCAATCTTTAATTTTAATTTTAAAAATTTAGTTAGCATGAAAATGATTGAAAATCGGAAACATTTTTGTTCGTGTATTTGTGAAATATAATTTGTTATTAAGTTATTCATTGTTTAATTCATTATTTACTGGGAAATTCGAAGTTTTTTTTTATTTATTGTAATTGATATTAATTAATTGAAGGTACTGTACTTATGGTATTCACTGCATCATTGTGGGTGATTGCGGG